GAAGGTGCGTCAAGGGGTCTTCCACGCTGGTGTAAAACAGTATACGCAACGGTTGTACCTCCCTGTCCGGTCTGGACTTCTTGATGCACTTGGTAAAGGGTCCCGGTCGAAGTTTTCCCCAGTCAAGTTCTTGGGACCGAGTTCGATCGTCTTCCATCTTCTGAATTCTCTGGAAGAGCAGACGGATAGCGAGGTCTCGACATGGGACCTCCTTGGAATTGTAGTCTTCGGAAGTTCTCCTCGGACTTGGTGGTCTTACCTTCGAATACTCCGTGGGAGTTTCCGAACGGTAGTTTGATTCGGTGCCTTTGGAAGGAGCATACTCATCGTCAGATTCTACCTTCGACACCAACCCTCGGACCTTTCTAAGAGGTGATTTGCTCCCAAGGACCCTTATTCGTGAATCCTGCAGGCGAGCATTGATCCTGATTGGGGACCGCTACCGTTCGACATCCTTGTCGTTGATCCGATGGCAATATCGGTATGTGAGGCTGGTCCCGTGGAGCCGGGACTACCAGCTGTTTGGTTGCCTTTGCCCCCTGCTTTCCCTTCGTCTGCCGACCGGGGGTCTGCTGACTCTGGGAAGATTCGGTGGTCTGAACGTTTCGCGTTTCCTGCTGGTTAAGCAGCCGTTGGGTTTCGTCTACTTTGGACGAGAGGAGGTGGTTATGTTCTTGGAGCTTGGCCATTTCTTTCTGAAGGGAAGTCATTTGAGCCAGAAGCTCCGCTTCGACCGTAGTCTAAATCACTGGAGGATTACCGAAGGGAGTGCTAGGGTGCAGCACGGGGCTTGCTTCACTTGGCTGCCGTACGGTAGTCCATCCTCCGATAATAACGTTGGTACTGAAGTGGTTCCCATGTGTTTTTTAGGAATTGTAGGTCGATTCTTATCGCTTCCCACAGACGGCGCCAAACTGTTAACGCAGAAAAATAGTTCGGCACTTTCCCGCGCAACTTAGTGATGTTGGGCCTTCGGTATGCACTGGGCCTCGGTAGGGCGTTCGATCTACAAGATAACAAATGCTCGGTAAGACCTAGGGCACCAGTGTGGTACCGGCCGAAGGCTCTCCGATGCTTAAGTAAGTACGGATTTAGTAAGATTGAACTACAGATCAATAGACAGTATGCCGTAAGTTCTGGTTAATTACCTTCAAGTTGGGATAGTTGTCCTCTTTTATAGGCCTTGGGAGGTGTGCAAGTTGTTTAGAATTTCGATGTGGGACTGTGGACTCCAATTGTGGGACTGCCACGTGCCCTTGGGGGTGGAGTTGCCATAATCGTGCGATCGGTAGAAACGAAACTGTAGCTAGGTGCCGCAGGCTTCCATAGCTCCAATTTGGTCCACGTGTCCGATGCTTATTGGCTGTTCATTTTGGTATAAACAATCTTTTATTCAGTCAAATGATGTGTACATTTTCTTTTATACTAAACCTTCAGAATGCCTTTTTTTCTCGAACAAGACGTGGGTTATTTTGCATGTTGTATGGTGAGAAGCAATGTACTTTGCATCTATTGCTGCCGGAAGATCTTCTTTTATGTTAAATCAAGGAAGATTTCGAATTCGACAAACACTAAAGGGCCATCTAACAAGGGGCTGTTGATATAAATTGACCAATCGATTGTCCTTATCATTGTTAGGTGCATGTTAATAACAAAATGTATCAACACATCATATAAATCTTCTATTAGGAGAAGATTTAAAAATCAATACGACTACAACATTCATGGGTGAATACCAAAATGGGTGTACAACACAAAGTATAGAAACTTTGTTGAGTCACGACCTCACACCTTCTTAACAGGATTTGACCAAAATCCTATCATTCTTTCATGGTAGAATCTATATTCTTTTGATCTCGTGTCCAATATGCTACAAGGATCACTGCCCATTCCACCACAATTAATATGTACGCATGTGGTCCGAATAATAGATTTTGGAATATGAGTATCTTAAGGATATAAAATCATTCCCAAATGAGTATCTTAGGTTTTGTTTCTAACCTGATTGCCATAAGAATCTTGCAAGCTGAGCTCACAACAGCGGGTCTGCTCTTCATCTTACGATGGTGGAAGGGTGAGCTCTTCCCCTTCTCTCGTTCTTTTCTGCATGTGCTCCTTAGCTTTCTCAAGCGATTGTATTTGCGGGTCATAAGAGAGAAAACGGGTTAAAACATTTAAAACAACCACAGCCGCAAGATCTCATTAAAATATATCCAACAACTGAGCACCCCATCCCTCAAATAACCCTATAATATAAAAGTAGAATCTACATGACAAACCTGCAGCATGCTACAACGTTTCTCTACCCAACAGTCCCTTCCTCCATCAAATCCAGTAACACTGGCGCATTGCTTGCCACATCTCCGAGCACCATCAAGCCGCATGAGAAACCCAACAAATCTCATCAATCCATCTTGGAAGAACATTCATTTTAAAAATAAAAATAGTTCATATTTTGGAAATTGTTCGGCTTCAATCCTTCACTAGGCTGACTATTTGATTGGAAGGCTAATACCTCATTCCTAGCAACACACAAAGCTTTAAAATTCTTTTTAATTCTTATACACATGACCAGAGAATATGATATCTCAAAATCAATTCAGTTTTTCTAGATAGCTAGTGAAATAGGCATTTAGATTTTTGAGCTTCAATTCGGATTTTCTTGATGAGTTGATTTGCATAGTTGGGTTTGTTGAATAAAAGAATTGATGTTTTTTTTTAGGGAGAGTTGTCACAAAGATCGCAGGAGGATGAGCACTGGCCAATAGGGAAGGAGAAGGGCAGCCAAAGGGATACAACGAAGAAGAAGAAAAGTTGAAAATATAAGGGGGCGTTTGCTATTCTATTTAAATACGGAACTCAAAAACTTGAATTTTTCTTAAAACATGGAGTTCTTAAATCTATTTTTAAGATTCAAAAACTTGTTTGGTATGCAACTTGAAAACTATTTTTAAATCTTAAAAATTTGAGAACTTGTGAGTTCTTGGAAAAAAAACTGAAAAAACAGGTATTTTTTGTTTTTAATAATTAGGGTGTTTTTTAGTTGTTATTGAGTTTGAGTTTTTAAAAATAGGACTACCAAACATGTTTTCTTTGTTTCGGACTCAAATTGTATTTTTGAGTTTAAAAAGTTGAATTCAAGTTGAATACCAAATAGGCCATAAATTACTTAATTTAAAAAGGAGAAACAAAAAAAAAAAAAAAAACAATTGGCCAAATTTAAGTGACGTGGCATATACACATCAGCTGCCACATAAGGTGGTTAGCTAATGTTATCAATTGGGTGTCTAAATAGCATTACTCTTTGAGTAATGTTATCGATTCAGTCTTTTATGGATCATAATTGTTGATGCATGTCAATGTCATAATTCACAAACATAGTTTGACATACAAAACCTAGTTCATGTTTAGGATTTTATTAAGATTAAAACCTAAGATAATCATTTGGGAGTGATTTTTTTATCCTTAAGATATTTTGTGCTCATTTGGGAATGATTTTATATTCTTAAGATACTCATGTTCGAAAATCTATGATTTGGACTACATGCATACATATTGTTTGTGGTGGAATTGGCAGTGATCCTTGTAGCATATTGGACACGATATTAAAAGAACATAGATTCGGCCATGGAAGAATGATAGGATTTTGGTTAAATCCTGTTCGAAACCTAATGAGCTTTAGGAGCTACGGGGATTCTTTGTGTTTTTTTCTTCTTTTTTTTGAATTTTCTGTTTGGTGGAATTGAAAATTTTCCTTGTTTTCCCCCATAATTTGAAATACCTTTTATTAGCTTGGGTAAAACGCTTTTTCCTGTTTTTAATTTTTAGTTTGAATTGTCCTTAAAAGTTCTTGTTTTCAATAAATTGCCACCACAACAAATTATGTCCCTTCTAGCATCCATATGAAATAACCAAATAGAAACATTGAGAAAGCGCCCAATTAGCACATAGAAACACATAATTTAAACCAATATAATATCTCGTTGTAGTTATCTTATTTGGTGAAATCAGATATTTTACAAGCAACTTATGTACTAGCATGGCTTGAAGTGAAGAAATTACAGAGGGAGTTGCTGAAGGAACCGAGCGGCAGAGGGAGATTGGTTATGGAGTTGTAGAGGAAGAAAGCGAAGAAGATAGTTGAGAAATGCAGAAGTAGACATGCAATCAAATTAAAGAGAGATAACCAGAAAAAATAAATTAATAAAAAAGAAGAGAGAAGTTTTAGAAGTCTCTGTTGTTGCCAATAAAGTAATAAAAGCACATATTGTTCATCTTGAATAAATCCTGAACCGTTAGATGTGGATAGATCTAAGGGCTTAAGACACATGTAAAACATTGTGTGTATATCTAGGACTATTAGGTTAGTTCCAGATACCGTGTGAATTTTCCACTACATCTTCATTCACAATATGCACACTTGTACTAGAATAATATAGAAAAGTCCAGAAAAATTGAGAAAATATAATATAGAATGAAAAGTCGGTGGTTGTATTCCCTAAACACTAGTTAATGAAGCTAGTAGAAAGCTCTAGTAGAAAACTACAATATATGGCTGAAATTACTTAGACAAAGTCGGTTACTGTGCAAACCGACTTAACTAAGCAAAAAGCCAACTTAGATAGTCAGTTCAGCAACTCTATATATAGCTATAACAGCCCACTAATGTATTCAAGTTAAGAAAGCTGAAAAACCACCAGCTGTCTAAACTCACATCAGTCACCTCTTGTATCCAATCAACTCTAAAGCCCTTGTACCCTTCTTATTTCAATCAATAAAATAAAATTATCTTGTTACTCTTTCAAAAGCTTTCTGTTCATCATCAAGCTATTATCCTAAGCCCCTCTTCTCCCTAGTACTAACACACAACAACCACCTTACCATTTACCAAAGCAAGTAACAAAAGAATAGGGTGGATGAGGGACAGGGTTCAGGTTTGGGTGTTGAATCAGTTGAGGGGGATTTGCATGCAAAGAATAGATAAAGTAATCAAGTCACGCAAACCTAAAATAGTGCAGCAAGAAACCTAAGAGTGGTGTAGTGGCCAAAGGGCCAACATTGAAAAATTACATAGATAGATCAATCAAAACCAAGATAACTAACTGCGATATACTTACATGAACCTGCGTGTGGATGCAATGGTGTCCAGCAAGGTTTGTTTTTCCCTCCATTCCCGGTACGCATCAATGATGTAGACCGTTGTAAAGTTATCATTGGTCCTATTGGAAAACAAGGAAAGGCAAACTATAAATGTTGGTGATTCCTGAGGTGTGAACGTCAGGACATGTCAATAACCCGTGGAGAGTGCATGGTTATTAATAGGTTTAACACAGACACACAGATAGGTTGTTGACATGTATGCATTGAGGAAGTCCACACTTGAGGATTCCACTATAAACATACCTAAATCTAAATCAAACACAACTCGATTCTAAAACATTTGCAATAGATAAGCCAATTTAGAATTTCAGCATAATGGAAAATCATATCGACTAAATTATTGAATACGTTAAACAAGCTCACTGAAGTAGAAATGGCGGCCAGACAGACAAGACAAGAACCAGTCCAAAGAAAAGTTTACTAGTTCCTACTTATATGGTAGTCTCCAATTATTTCCCAGGGGACGAGATTGTATATGTAGTATATTATATGTGTGTAACCCTGGAAAAAACCAGGACTCTTCATCTCTTGATAATTGAGTTATACTAGCCTGGCATGTGAATGCTGTGCAAGCCGTGTTTGTTTATCAGAGTGTTATTCTGATTGATGCCTTTGGTTGTTCCCCAATCACCCACAAAATGCTTTGCACAAGCCGCAACCTTTGTACTTCCAACAGAAATGAAGGAATATTATAAACAAAATACCTTGTAAAAATTAATAACAGACTTATTGTTTGAAATCCAAAAATTATTAATGATTTTTTATGCACAAATCAGAGTGCAACAATATGGGGAGAACAGTGGCCTTTGCAACCACAGTAAATTAACTTTGCAGTTCCTAGAGTACCTTATTCAATAACCAACACCACCACCACCACCACACCCCCCCCTTTCTCCAAAGAGAAAGATAAAAAGAAAGATAAAGAAAAAGGAAATTTGAGATGGACAAAACTGAGGGTTACAAACATTTTTCGTAAACCTATGACATAATTAGGCCAAAACAGCCTTGCATGTTAAGGCTGTAGTAAACGAAAATATAGAGATGCAAAGACCAGAAGAACCAACATAATTATGAAGCGAAGCGAAGAAACCAATTAAAGCAAGGATGCAGAATAATTAGAAACTGGAAATAAAAATTATAAAAGAAAAAAACCACATAATTAACAATTACCTATCAAACTCGTCGATGTTTCTGTCCGCTTCTAGCATCAGTGTCGTTGCTTCATTTTTGAGAGTATAAATTTTATAACTCATTGCAGAAATTCCAGCATATATCAGGAGTTTGCATATGGGATGAGGAGCTTGAGCCATTGGGAAGGATCGGATCGGACGGGACGAAAGGAATGCTCTCGAGTTAGGGCTTGAGACGGGATAGCGATAGCAGAGAAGAAAGGTTTGGGTTCGTCTATTGGACCAAATTATATACTTCCGGTCCGCTGTCCGCATAAAGATTGGGCTTTGGTTGCCCAACAATCGCTGCCTTCCAACTTTCCTGAAGAAGCCCTTCCCTCCCTTACTACGAAACGATGGCGAGACTACAATGCGGAGATTCCGTGCGGAGGTTACTTACGGAGATTACTTACTGGGCCGTTAGATTGATCAAAAGGCTAATATTAATATCCTCCTTACGCTACAACCGGGTTAAAATTATACAAATTTATAAATAAATCCAATCCTAAGACATGTATTTATAAAAAAACCCAAGCACTATTTAAACATAGAAACACACCTAAAATCAACTCCAAAGTCAACTTTTTGGGTGTGTTTATAAATGAGTTTTGAGTGTATGTAATGATGAGTTTTGGATGTGTTTATAAAGTGTTTTAGGTGTTAAGTTTTTTTATAATTTCAATCTTCATTTTGGGTGTTTTAGTGAAACTCCCTTAAAATTACCCATCACAAAAATTACAACCCATCTCTACTCTCTCATCTCTACCCTTTCGCAAGGTCAATTTGGTGAAAAGCCAACAGTCACCATCCATCTATCTTCTTCCGGCGAAAACCCAACAGTCACAACCATCGCACTCAAATCCAACCCACCACAACGTACTACATATCCAAGTTTTGGAGAGAGAGAGCATATGGATTTTTTATTTATTTTTTGGATCAGATCTAAGTATTGTTTAGATTTCATGTTTTTCTTGGTTTAATGTCATAGTTAGCATTTTCATTTTGATTTGGGGGTACTCTGTTTCTGTGTTCATCTGTGCAGTGGGGCTCTATTTGTTATAGATCTCTGGTTGCTCTGTCAAATTTTGTAGAATAGCTGGGTTCTTGAGAACATTCTGTAGAGAGAGAAAGAATGGTTGGGTTGGGGATGGGATGGCTTTGCTGGTTTTCTTTTTTCTCAGTTGGCTGGTGATGGGGCTGGAAAAAGGGAGAGAAAGCTGGGTGTGGGGCGGGATGGTCGTGGTGGAGGCGTGGCTACCTGGCTAGGGTAGTAAGAATCAAGGGGAGGTAGTGGGCTGGGCTGGGATGAATGAATTTCCTCCCTTTTTTTTTCTAATATTTCTTTTATTTTATTATTTACAGATTCCGATTTTCCATCAAATTTTACAAAGAAATGTTCATGTACCATTTTCATCATGAACTTCTATTTTGATTAATAATCATACCCCTTTTTCTATTTTGATTTTTCCCTCATAATTCTTTTTTTTTTAAATGAAATTTGAAAAAGCATTCTTTCTGGGTTTGTGTTTTAGCCATATTTGTATTTTTTTTTTCTTTTGGTGGGACAAGGAAGGGGCTGGGGTTGTGATTTAAAAGAACAAAGAAAAATGGATGGGGCAGGTTCACTTTTTGTTTTTTTCCTTCGGGTTGTTGGCGCTGCGGCTTGGAAAAGGGGGAGAGAGCGAGCGTAAGAGCAACTCCACCCATTTGCCCTTAGCCATGGCAAGGGGGGAGCTAGGGGAGCCAC